CCACACACATTAAGTGCCTAATAAGACAGTGACCTGCTAATTGCTCATGGGCCTGTGTCTCAGCTCCTCAGGTCACGCACGGGGCCCAAGGGCACTACGGAACCTGCAGTCCAGACCCCGCATCTGGAGAGGCTGAGTTTCCTCTCCATTGCTCACATTCCCTTGGTGTAGCCTCCTTTTGAGAATCAGCAGCCTGTAGCCCCCAGGAGGGGATCTGCATCTCACTGTTTTCAAACACACTTTGCTTGCTCCAAAGGCTCTGTTCTCAAGACAGATCCAAGTGATCAGCCCTTAGGACTGGAGTGGGTAAGTTAAATAAGGGTGTTGGCTGCAGTCTTCCTCCTCAGAGAAAATGAAGTTGCCCTCTTCTCTTTCCCGTAAGCCATTTGGAGAACAGGAGATAATAAAGACAGCTGAATTTTCCCCTGGACCATCCTATGGCAGCTCTTTGTGAGGGGCTGTAGTCTTGCTGGGAGAATGCAGAAGGCGAGGAGAAGCTGCTGGGATTGTGCAGGCTGTTCCAAGATGGACCCCAACCCCAGTAGTGGGCCAGCCACAGTGAGTGACTGAGGACCCTGTGTGCCTGGGCCTCTGGCCAGGGAGGAGAGGCCTGGTTGTCATCCAGCTGAAGGCAGCTGTGTTTGTGATAATGTTCATCTATCGACACTGGGCTCCGCTGGAAATACCACAGGCCAGGGCATGAGCCCAAGTCTGCTGGTGTTTATCCCTCTGAGAGCAGCCATACCAGGCTGGGGAACTGAGGAAGCAGAAATTGAAAGCTCTGCATGGGAACATGTAGATTTGGGGATTCAGATCAGAACCTTACAGTAGATTTGTCTTTGAGTTAAATGTCCCATTTAACCCTCTCCAGAGCCAATCCCAGGATCCTGTGAGCCGGAAGAAGAACTTCAGGGTCTTGGGATTGCACTCTAGGGGTGGAGAGATTGAGAGAGAAGTGCTTAAAATAGAGAAGAGGTGCCCCCAGCCAAGGATTAATCAGTGTAGTGGGGGAAGCAGACTAATCAAGATGTAATTATGCCAAAGGGAAACAAACCAACTAATGGGTGTCTTCCTAGAGCTCCAAGACCTGAAGGAAGGAGCAGCTTGCTGGCTTCAGGGGCCAGGAAAATGAGAGGACATGCTGAACATGTGGATTCAAGGCCAGGGGAACACGGGGATGTTCAGGGCAGAGGCCCTGGGGCTAGAGTGGGGAGGAGAGAGATTGGACAACCTGAGACAAACTTGCAGCCAGCCAGCAAGACCCAGGCTACCCGGGCAGCTGATGGCCAGGAGACAGCCTGTTTCTAGAGCACCAGATGCTGCCTCTTCCCAAAGACTACAAAGCGTCAGCCAATAGAAAAGCCACCTGGACCTCGTTGCACACTTTTCTATGCTCAGGAGCCAAGAATGTGCCACCTTGTGTCCTTCTGTCTTCCCGACCTCAGCAACTACACCCAGAAGAACAGCCAGATAGTCTCCAAACTGCTGTTTGCCTCCCAACACCTGGCAACAGGCAACAGGCAGACTGAGGAACCAACAACTTAAATTTAAATGTTTGTTGTCTTTAAATAAAATTCCTTGGAAAGAGCTCTGAAAGTGAGGAGCAGAAATTCTAATTTGGTAACACCATTGAATGTTTGCATTTTCTAGGGCAATTCAATCTCTGGATTTTTAATTAAACAAAAAAGAAAAGAATTAGCTAAAAAGGATCTTGGCAAGAAGCTAAATGAGCCCATGCAGTTTGAAAGTGAAGGTAAAATGTCTCAACAAAGTTTGTACTTCCCCAAGATCACACATGTGACAGGGCCAGGTGACCTCCCAGCCTTGCCTAACATGTCATCCTGAGGAAGGAGACCCAGGCATCTAGGATCACCACCCCCTTGACTTGCACACTGCATTTCAATAGAAGAAAAGGCTGGCCGACTGGAGCCTCCTAAATCACCTTCCTGTAAATAGCAGGCATGGTGTGGGGGAATCTCTGGAAGACATTGTTTTTACTTAAACGAGATCAAAACCCTACCCCACTCCTCCATCGACCAAGACTCTTTCATATGATTTCTAAAACTGTAAACCCAAGACCCTTTCACTTGTAATTGCTGAGGCTGTGAACGTAAGATTCTTTCATGTGTAATATCTAGAGTGTAAGCCTGTATAAAGGCAGAGCTTCTCTTTGTTAGGGGAGCTTTGAGGTTGGACAAATTGTTGCCTCACTCTCAGGCCATAATAAAACCTCTTCCTTCTAAGTTCAGTGTCCGAGAGGTCTGTTTCTCGCGGCTGCCCCTGCTTCAATCCCATCCTGGGTCCTCTTTGAGGGAAGAGGTTAGCAATCTCCATAAGCCCAACCAGTTCTACTGGGCCTGAATCTGAGGTTGGAATATGTCACTAGCCAATTTAGGTATGTGCCTTCTTCTGTACTGTTGCCTGTATAGCATACACATTTATGCCAATTAAAAATTAAATGTGTGCCTTAAATATCAAAATGCATTTGTACATTTCCTGGAAAAATAAAGGTATTGTTTGGCTTGGCCATCTGGGGATGCAATGACAGAGGGTGAAAGAGGTGGGTGGCTGCCATGGCAGGTCCTAACATGACATAGACCCTAATTGACCCCATGGTCTGCATTCAGAAATACGGTATGGAGGCTCCTAGGTAACCTTCAGTTCTTGTTCCAAGGACAACACTTAGCTCTGTGGAACTCTGCTAGCTCTAGCTACCATGCCTCTAGCTAGTCCCCTCCCACCCTGAGCCATCCCCCAGACAGCCACACTTGGTGGACACCAGCCCCCTGAGTCTGCCTTGCTGGAACACAGAAATGCAAGCATCCTTGGTTTCTTCCATGTATATGGGACTCTCTGCTTATCAACTGAACCATAAGGGTTTTGCAGTCTGGGGCTTTACTCTCCAGTTATCCCCTGTGTCTCCAAGTCTCCGGGTTCTCTCTGTGATGAACACTCAGTCCACTGTGACAACCCTCTCTCCCAACACCCACATGCCCCCACATACACACAATTCTAGCTAGCAAGCTAGAGGTTAAACGTAGCAATACGTTTAATGTGACAAAAACAGCAATAGCTCAAGTCAGGGCCCCAGCTGTAATTCCACTGGAAGCCACTGATTTAAGGGGCCAAACATGACTATCCCTTGGACTTCAGGCTAAATGTCAAATGAAGATGTGAGGTCCCTGATCTTCTAAATTTTAGAGTCTTTTCCACCCTTTGAAACCCTGACAGGGTGTAGGCTGATCCAGGGATGTGCTGGCATACCCTGCCCCTAGTCCTGCTGAGGCTAGAGCACACACAGCCTTCTCTCTCTACACAGCCCTGGGCCAAGCCACCACTTCTTTAAAAACCAGCCAGTAGGGCTGCTGGCTGCCTCTGCAGAGTCACGTGAAAGAGCACCAGGAAAAGGGAGTCACTCCAGCTCCCTGCACATTTGCCAAAGTCACACCAAACTCTAGGGCTACCGTTACCACTAACAACTCCCCAACCCCTAGCCTTCCAAACTAGACCTAGTAGAGGTCAAGCTGAGTGCCCCACGGATTTTCTTCCCTCTGAAAGAGGTCCTGAGTCAACAAACACTTGGTTTCACAATTTGCATCTGTTCTCTGATTAGAAAAAAAGAGGAGGGATATGGCATGCCCACAGGATCCTGCGGGAAAGCTCACCCTCAGCCCCAGGCCCTGCCACCTGGCCTCTGCAGAGTGTGTGAACCTCTGAGAATACTTGGCCTCCATGTCTCTGGAGCTTAGAGGAGCTCCTTGGGCTAGAAACCCTGGCTCTCCCAGCCCTGAGTCATCACAGCCCCACTTAGCCCTGCAGCCAGAAAACAGAGCCACTGACTTTCAACCAAAGGGACCCCAGTTTGAGAGGATTCAAAAATGCTCATAACTGAGCATTCTTACAATGAGACTAAGCAGAACAAAGCAGGACTGAACCAGAAGAGACAAGCATTCAGTTGGCACCTGAGGCAGAGCCCAATCTATCTCTGGGAGGCCTTGGCTTCTGGGTGAACCTTCCCAGAAGTGTTTCAACAAAGACACTTCAGAAGTGTCTATAGTTCTTCCAAGTTCACATGTTCATAGATTGTTAAAGTACGAAGGGACTTTTTGTGGGACTTTTGCAAGTCCTTTCTCCTTTCTGGGCTGCAGTTTGCTTATCTACATAACAAAGGGATTGGACTAGATCTGTGGGTCTCAATCCTGTCTGCACAAGAGAACCACCTGGGGATCCTGCAATCATGGGCACGAGATGTCTGTGACATCTTCAAAGTAAACCAGGGGCAGGTGCCAGGAGAGCAGGTGGGGGAAGTGCTGCAAGAGGACTGGCTAAGTGTTGAAATTGTTTAAATGGGATAATAGGTAAATGTGGGGTAGGAGGGTAAGATCATTCCATTGCCTCTGTTTTTCAGAATAAAAAGTTAAAAAGAAAGAAAAACCAAACCACTGATATCCTAAAACTAGCTATGGCTGGGTCTCACCTGGAACCTATTAAAATGGAATGTCTAAGGGCTCAGGGCTGTGGAATTGGTGTTTCAAAAAAGGAGTCCCAGGTGACACCAATATGCAGCCAGGATTGAGAATATTGGACAAAACACTCTCCAAGGCTCCACATGCAGCTGAGCAGTTGAGCCACCCACACCTTCCACCAAACATAGCAAGTCACATTCATGTCCCACTTGCTTTAACTTTCTACTGCTGTAGCCCCTCTCAGAAGGGAGATGACCGGCGGGGCCAGCACAAAGCCCTGCCAGGCCACAATCCCAGGTCCTTAAGTTGGTCTATCCTGCCCCGAAAGGTGAAATCCTCAAATAGGCTGCTTCCCAAGGCTTCCAGGGCCAAGTGTGCCAACTCAGGGAGGGTGGCGTCTGCACCTCCAGGAAGCTCCAGACAGGCCAGTCCCTCTCACCCATATGTGTGAGCTTGAACTTGAGCCCCATTTTCTGTCTCCTCGTGTGGCCAAGTAGGCCTCCCACCTCTCTGAACACAGCAAGTCACACTCACATTGCATTTGGTTTAACTTCCCAGCCGATGCTGAATGTTCCTGGACTATTTCCCAACATCCATTTTCTCCCTTTTGCACTTCAGCGTCGGGACCAGCAGGCAGGAAGCAGACTCCACTGGATTTCCACCCAGGATGCTCGGCTTCCAGGGGCCCTAGGAAGAAGGTTCCGCTTTCACTGCCTCTCACCTCAGAGCACCCGCCACAGACCCCCTCCCCCACCACTACCACCCTGCAGAATCGGATCCCACTGGCTGGAGTTTATCCTTCACTCATGGTGAATAAGTTTACATTCCAAAGTCCTAGAAAACTTCTCAGAAGGCTTCCTGTTTCTCAGATCCTTTGTCCTTTATGAATGACAAGGGAGCTCTGCAGGGCAGCGGGGCTCCTCCTGATTTGGGCCTTTCTGAAAGGCAGGAACTTCTTGAGTTCTGTTGTCGTTTTGAACAGAGGTACTTCCTACTGCCTTTCTCCAACTAAAGCTGGCTCTCCAGTTTGGCATTTGAGGCCTTTCCTGCCTCATTTCCCATTACTTCCGTATTTTTTTGAAAATTAAAGACTTCCGCTTTCACCTGTCTCGTCAGCTTATGTCCCCCACCCCCACAAACGTACCAGGTATCTTTCTACCTCTAGGTGTACGCTCTTGCTAGTCCTCCTGCCTTGAAGGGATTGTCCTTTTCTTTACCTGCCACCCTTAGTATTTATCAAATAACAAAAATAATAGAGGTTCAAACATGAGCAGTTGAGGGGCTTTAAAACAAACTTCTTGAGCATTTACTGTGTCAGTGCTAAGTACCTTATTTATGTGTCATCTCTTTTACTCCTCACAAAATGCTGAGTCACTTAAAAAAAATATATAGACGCGGTCTCACTATGTTGTCCAGGCTGGTCTCGAACTCCTGAGCTCCAGCGATCCTCCTGACTTAGCCTCCCAATGTGCTAGGATTACAGGTCTGAGCCACCATACCCAGTCACTGAGTCACTTTTTAAGAAACTCTTCCGGCCAGCCATGGTGGCTCACACCTGTAATCCCAGCACTTTGGGAGGCCAAGGCAGGCAGATCATGAGATCAGGAGATCGAGACCATCCTGGCTAACATGGTGAGATCCCATCTCTACTAAAAATACAAAAACTTAGCTGGGCATGGTGGCGTGAGCCTGTAGTTCCAGCTACTTCGGAGGCTGAGGCAGGAGAATCGCTCAAACCCGGGAGGCGGAGGTTGTAGTGAGCCAAGATTGCACCACGGCACTCCAGCCTGGGCAACAGATCAAGACTGTAAAAAGAAAAAGAAACTTTATTTTGAAATTATTTAGACTTACAGAAAAGTTGGAAAAATGTACAGAGAGTTCTGTGTATCATTCCCCTAATGTTAACATCTTACACAAACATAGCGCAATTATCAACACCAGGAGATTAATGTTGGTACAATACTATTAAGTACATACCTCAACAAATTTCTGATGTTTTTTTTCATGATTATGAAACTGCCACTGCAAAATCATAACTGAGACAGTGAAAGAGATCGGACCTAACCAACTTCATCTTGCTTCTCATTCCCAGGCTGTCTTTGTTCATTCCTGAGTATAGGCCTAACTAACTTTGGGAGGAACTTAGTTTACAGTTTAACTTTGAAACAAAGACCCGTAACAGCCCTTTCCCAAAACAAACCCCTTCCCTGCCTGGGAACTAGACTGCCTTTGTAGGACTAGCAAATTAGCAAAAAGATTAGAAATTACAGTTTACAAGTCATGCAGCAGGAGGCTACAAGATTCTGACCCTCCCCAGATTGCTCATGGGGATGACATCTCTATTGTAAAACCTAAGATCAGTGCTTGAGATATTTTGCAGACCCTGTACTTGATGGATCAGCTGGCACCACCCAGATCAATAAACTGGTTCATCTAATCTACCCCACTGAGGAACTGACTCAGCACAAGAAGACAGCTTTGACTCCCTATGATTTCATCTCTGACTCAACCAATTAGCACTCCTGACTCACTGACCCCTGCCCACCAAATTATCCTTAAAAACTTCAATCCCTGAATGCTCCAGGAGACTGATTTGAGTAATAATGAAACTCCAGTCTCCCACACAGCTGGCTCTGTGTGAATTACTTTCTCCGTTGCAATTCCCCTGTCTTGATAAATCAGCTCTCTAGGCAGCAGGCAAGGTGAATCCATTGGGTGGTTATAGTTAGATGGAGGTTATGCACTTTTGGCAGGAATACCACAGAAGTGATATTTTGTCCTTCTCGGTGCATCATATTGATGAAGCAGGATATTTCTTTGATCCCTTTGTGGGACTAATGACAGGGATGACTCGTTTACTCAACCGGCTGCTCTCAGCTCCTCATGGGAGGGAGCACACAAGCGAACGAGGTAGGAACTGGAGGGCACAAGTGCTGAAACTGGCCAGCCAGATTGGGTGACCCCTGAAGCTCCAGACAGCATGTCACAGTGCTCTTTTAGTTCTGCTGTCCACAGACAGCTTAAGTGTTAACAGCTCAGTGGCCCTTTGCCTCGTCACATGGGGCAGCTGCCCTCCACTAGCAAGGGCAAAGGGCCAGTGTAGCTGCCTTTTGTATCCACACCTGTGGCCCCTGAGCTCTTTTCTAGGGTCCAGGAATAATGAAGTCACATGAAAGAATTGAAGGGTGGTAAATGTGGGGGATTTTATTGCCAATGAAAGGGGCTCTTAGCTGGAAGTGGAGCTGAAAAGGAGATACGGAGGTAGGTAATCTTCTCCTGAAGTCCGGCTGTCTGCAGCCAGATTCTTTCTTAAGTTATGTCATCAAGCTCTCCCTCTGAAGTCAAGCCGCTTCTCTCCAACATCCAGCTATAGTCCTGATGACCAGCTGCTTCTCCTGTCTGCCTGCTGAGTCTGGGGTTTTTATAGGCACAGGATGGATTGGGGCAGGGCCATGGGTGGTTTAGGAAAAGGCAACATTTGAGTGGGAAAACAGGGATAGAAGTTCTTTAGGCCATGGTTTCAGGCTTTTCGGCTTGAGGGTGGGGTTTTTGTTGGGGACCCACCATTTTCTGCCCAGACTTTCTCTGCCTCCTGTCCCTATCACCAGCAGGTATATGATGCTAATTTGTTTTATTGCAGGTTGTTTTAACCTTGGTCACTTGATTTAGGTGGTATCTGGTAGGTTTCTCCATAGTAAAATTACTTTTTCTTTTCATAACTGCTAAGTACTCTGAGGGAAATACTTTGAAACTATGAATAGCCTGTTTCTCCTCCATCTCCTGTCCACTGAATTTAGATCTCCCAGCAGATCTTGCCTGCAGTGGTTTATAATGTTAGTCTAAAGGTGATTTTGTATTTTTCAAGGGTCCCTGTTTCCCCCACTTTATAGACAAGATATTGTGACTCAGACCTGTAACTTGCCTGAGGTCCCAAGCTAATAATTGTCAGAGTCAGAACTCAGGCACTAAAGCCGTGCCTCTAACCCTAAGCCCTTTACTCTTGCAGTGGGGAAGTGAGCCATATACTGTCTCAGGGCAGCTCTTGTCACCACTTGATTTTCCTGCATGTGATCTTCTCCCCCAGCCACACAGTTTCTGGAGGGTGGGGACTGGCTCCTGTTTGATTCCCCCAGGCTGTTCCAGGCAAAATCTGGTGTCCCATAAGTACTTGTGGACTGACTGGGGCTGGAAGGATTGAAAAGGTCACCTGTGTCAAGAGGAAGAGGTAGAAACTAAAGAATGTCCAGCTCCTTTCCTACATCCCAGCCCACAAGGTCACAAGGAAAGAGGTGGGGAGGCCTGGCCACAGAACACCCAAGTCTGGACAGAGGAAAAATGTGGGCAGGGTCTCTCCGGAGGGGCAGGGGGCTCAGGAAGGCAGATACCAGCTGCATAACTGGTAGGAGGGGGTGGGAGAAAGTTCCAGAGAAAAGGTAGAGGAAGGAGGAAGGCCCATCTTATCTAGTTCATCATTTCACAGGTGAGGAGGCCAAGACCACATTCTAGAGCTGTATTGATTGTAATCAGATCCTCAAGTGCAAAGTCAGGTTTATTGAAAGTATTCAGGGAAAGAGTTCACTGCAACTCATTGGCAGGAAATGTAGCCTCAAGGGGCCTTTTCAGCTCAAGTGCTTCCCCTGATTACCAATGTTTTTGTGCCTCTAAATTCACATTTATCCATAATTCAAATGCTGAGTACTTTCCATGGGGTAGCACTGTACTGGGAATGAAACTGTAAGCAAAAGCAGAGGTCACCTTAGCCCAGTGGGGAGGGGTTGATTTTTTTTCTGACTTGTCTTCCCTGCAAACCATGGGTGGGGTAGACTAAGCTAGAATGAGAAGCCAAAGGGAGAAATGCACACAATGATGTCCTGCATGGGCCAGAGAGGGTCAGTGTCTTGCTCAAAGTCACACAAGGTTAGAACTTGGGTCCTGCAGTGCTGGTTTCAGGGCTCTTCCTGTGCTCAGATATGTTCCTCATTCATCTTTACTTTTTGATGCAGGGTGGTGGAAGGTGGAATGACCTGAGACTCCCATCCTATGTCAGCAAAGGGAGGTCAGAGAGTGTGGTGTGGGTGTTTATGGAGATGCACTTGAGTGCAGGGCTGGGGCCCGGCTCAGGGCTAGGGCTGAGGGTGACAGCTAGGCCTATAGGAGGGGTGCTAGATGGAGGAGAGAATTGTTCACAAGGAAGCCACAGGCTGAAAACACTGAGCAAACAGCTTCCAGGGGGAAGCTGCATTCAATTTGCAATTCCTGAATTCACCTCTTCTACAGTAACTACCAGCCCATTGGCCTGGCTGCCAGGGCTGAATGCCCAAGACCTGGACGTTGGTCTGCACAGTCAGAGGAAAGAAAAAGAGCAGAGCAGCAGTGTTGACTGGAGTGGCTGACTCTGGGTTGGCAGTGGTCCTGTGCTCTCATCCCAGCTTGGCCATTAGAGGCAGTGTCTTCACCTGTCAGGCTCCAGTTTACTCACTGGATGCAAAAGGAAGGTGTGGGGCTGCTTCCCAGGTTTTCAGTCAGAATCACCAGGACAACTAATGAGACGGTAAATCCCAGGCCCACCTGAAATCAGGTTCAGGGGTTCTGGAATGAGGCTCAGGGATGTGCCTTGTTAACAGATGCCCCCAGAGGGTTCTGGGCCATCCTCAGTCCTGGGCCACACTTTGATCAAAAGGAACTTGGCCATGTCTGGGGTCTTTTAAGTTTCCCTGTAAAAACCAGGTTCATTGGGCCAAGGAGAGGAAGACAGCCATTTTCCTGGCACCCGCTGCCAGTCAGTGTGGGATGGGCTAGCAGGAGAAGAGGCTGGCAGTCCTCCACTGGCCAGGGAGGAGTGACCAAGCAGGACACTAGCAGGGAACCAGAAAACCAGCCCTGGCAGTCAAGGTTTAGAGACTGAACTGGAGGCGCAGAGCCTGCTGCACTATCTGTTTAGGTCTCTAAGGCCCCACTCACCTCCATCTCCCATTCCTTGGCCTGGCCTGTTTACCTTAAATTCCAACCAAGCCAAACCTCATTCGAACATATTGGTAACCAGGGAGCAGAGTTCAGGATCTGAACCCTAAAAGAACTTTGTGTTTTCTCAAATTCTAGAAGATGGACAAGTTAAAGAGACTTCACAGGAGCCCAAGAGGCTGGCTAGGGAGCCTAGGGCTCAGTTCCTCTGTAGGAAGGCACACGCTCTCCAAGTTATGGCTCTGGGTCTTAGTCCGTCTCACTGGTTATGAGTCTTCCAAAGCCCCATCTTTCAAGGGTTCCATCCTCACCTCCTCAGCCACAATCACCTGCTTTTTCCTCTACAACCTTGTTAGCCAGTCATTTTTGTCCATGTTCGGCACTTGACGGAAGGAGGGGCTGTTCCATCTTTGTTCTCCAGAGTGCCTGGCACACAGCAGGTGTTCATTAAATTGCAAATAGCATTGAATGAGGCAAGGGTTCCAGTTCAAAAGGTGGTTAGCATCTGGAGACAGAAGTGCTGAGGTGGGGACATGTGCAGCCCATATTAAAAGGACCTTATCTCAGAGTTTGTTTCACTATTTATAGAAATAATGACTGGAAAAAAATGCAATCTTCAGGACTAAAATGGCTGTGCTTGGGTTTATCTAATAGGCTCTGAGCAACCTCTTATACGTACAGTAGATAAAAACTTAAAACAAATGTGGCCTACTATTCAAGGGGATGCCCAGCCCTGATAACTGGCTTCCAGGAGAGGGAACATCATGGTGAAATGTTTAATTTTTAAAAGGGAGTCAAGGATTTGCGGGTGAGAATAACTAATGGCCCTGAGACATTTATGACA